CAAGGCACGAAACACTAGCGTTTGTCTACAATATGAATGTTCTACAGTCTTACAACACTATAAAATAAGTATAAAATAATAGCAAAATATTTTAAATGTTATTTTTATCCTTTCGAAAATATTATTGGATGATATAGAGGCGCGTGTAGAATCTAAAAAATGCAGTTAAATGTATGGTTCAAAATAACTGTACTACGCAATATATTCTATTTAAAATTTTATTGATTATACTTATATCTTAACAGGCGAGGAAAAATCCATTCTTGGACCTACCTATGTTTATTGATTTTTCACGTGAATTTAGGAAACTCCTTGAAAATGGGAACAGACTAAATTTGGCAGAGTGTATCATAATAATTTAAATATGAAATGTTGTCCAGATATCATATCCATCATGGCCTTCGGACCTCACGATGTACCTGAATTTCTAGATAGTTAATTCGTGCTATTTTTTATGTTTAAATTGCTCGTTTCTCGATAACTGGAAAGTTTTAAAAATCGTGCCAGAATGTAAAAAAGGCGACAGGGGGGCAGTAAACAATTACAGACTCATAGCTTTTATATGAAATTTCAATGTTTACACATTACCTTATCTATAGATTTCATCACAATCTCAACTAGATGAATTGTGGTATCATGTGAACAAGTGTTTAAAGGAGGGTAATTTTTTGTCCTCCAAGTTGAATAAGGAAAAGTTCTCTTTTCCTATTAACGAACTAAAACAAAATGCAAACTGTTGATAATAAGGAAACATATAACAAAAGTTGCATGTCATCATTAATAAAAGATCAACGGAAAATCCAGAAGAGAAAATCAAACGTACCAGATTTTCAAGAACCACAACCCTATATCTCTTCCAAAAGAAAAGTATGCTGATCTAAAAGTTTCAATGAAATTCTGTGAAGAAGAAGGATCTAAAGAGTATTACAGCCAACTTCTCTCTGCTATGAGTTGTTAAGAGGTTTTCTCATAGCAGTAGACAAATTATTGGTCGGTAACATCCTCTAGGATTTCAACCACGAGAATGATAACTAGCGTTTTCATGGTAGTCTCCGGTTTTTTTAGATTGAAATATTAAAGAACCACGTTTCGTTTTGAAAACCCGTCATCATTTTCAATATGAGTTATAATTAGACGTCGTCGGAAAGAACCTTTAATCCTGTAGATAATCCTTCCAAAAACGCCTGTCGTGAAGATTGAATGTGTGTTTCCTGTCACATTTTGCTAACTGTGTTACCTTCATTCATCCAGGTTTCGTCCAAATAAAATATTTTTTGCCTTCTGCACGTAATTTAAAAATGGTTCTGAGGTATCTCCGTCTCCAACAAACAGTTTCATCAGAATCAATAAGTGCTGCTTTGCTGTCCTGTTTAACCCACTTGAACTTTAAATCTATTAGAGTTTCCCGTAGTTTTGTCTGTCCCATTTTAGGAAAACACGGATCACTATTGATTATGTCCAAAAACCTTAACAAGTTATGGTATCTCTTTTTTAGAATAAAATTCGTCAGCTTTTCTATTTTATTCTACTTTTAATTTGTTTAGTAAAATCCACTTTTTTCTTACTTAATGAATTTTTCTTTGTGGGTTTAACAACTCCACTTTTTAATTCACTTATAAGTTTATATATCGTTGATTTGGTTACATCCATCATAATATCTCTCTTTTCAACAGTTTCGTCAACAGAAAACGAAGGATTTTCCATTTTTAGGTAATTATAAACATTGCTTATAAATATTTTCTCGTTAACTAAAAGGTTATTTAAATAATTTGTTTTTTTTTTAATAAAATTCTATGCATCATTTCAAATAAACTTATTTTATTTTATTAGTTTTTGTGGTTTCTAAAAAAAACTTTTAATCTTAAGTTTTCTTATTTATGGGAAAACTACTTGGTAAATAAGAATAATTTCAATAAGCTACTACAAAAAGTAAACCAAGATTAATTCAATACTTATCAAAGTCTTTGTAGATATAATTAATAGACAAATATATTAGTATTTTTTTCAATTTTTTTCATGTAATTTAAAAAATAAGTTTTAGCAAAATTTATAAAAAAAATATTGTAAGAAAGTATATACTAGGTGTTTCAGAATATTAATTTCTTTTGTTAGTTTTAGTTGAGATCTGTATGCTTGTATAACCTTCAATTATGGGGAACTTAAGAAAACATTTTAAATTTTACATCAACTCATTGCCACTATGATCTATATCAATAAAATATTATGAAGAACACAAGCAGCAACAGTTGCTTCCGTCACAAAACATAAATCAATATTGTCAAAATGTCTTAAACACCTAAAATGACTCTTTAAAAGGCCAAAAGCATTTTCTATAATATAGTACTTGTAGCTGAATGCCTGTAGTTAAAGAGCTTTTCATTTGGAGTCAAAGCCCATTATCTTTAAAAGGCACTACCATCCAGTTTAATTCAGGGTAAGCACTCCCTCAATAAGCGCATGCCATGTGCTAAACCATCCCTGTAAAACTTTTGAATCGTTTTTTGTCATCAACAACTTTTTGCAAAATAATACTATGTGTTCCTTTACGATTGCAGTAAGTTAGTTGGTCTGAAGTGGTCGATTAATTGAAATATGAGATGCATCTATAGCACCAATAATTTGTTCTAAACCCTGTCGCATTTGGAAAGCACTTGCAATTATTCTCAGCTTCTTGTTGTGTTGGCCATTTTATGTACATACCTTTAACTTCAACAATAGTATATTACAAACCGAGGTGGGAAGAGTTTCATTCCTGTCGTGAGATTAGTTAGATCACCGAGACGCGAAGCGTCGAGGTTAGCTATGATCTCGAGACAGGAATGAAACTTCCTACCGAGGTTTGTATACTATTTTATTTACAACCATCATATTTCGATCAAAGTTAATAAATCTCTGTTTTGTTCTGAACATACCTAAAATATTACATTTAACGACAAATTACCAAGCGCGCGGTTTTCTCAGAATAATCAAGTAGGTAAATATATTATTACTGTGATTACGGGGTAAACAACTGTCACCAATATAAATAAATGTCAAATAAAGCCGGATATTAAATTCGCGAATAATAAATATCAATCCCAGATAGCACACGACGTCCATTAGACGTCCATATTTTGTCCAAATAATGTCCTGGATGTCCATGAACTTCATATGGATATTCATTGGACATCCGTTTTCCGTTATCCAATGGATATACCCATTCAGAAGTCCAATGGATGTCCAAAATATGTCCATGATGGACAATATAAAAATGACTAACTTATAATAAATTATTATAATTCTTCTTGTATAATTTAATTATTTACTACTAAGTTTTAATTAAAATAAATCAAATAATTTTCCTCTCCACTCGCCTTTGTTGACAAGATAGAAAAGTAAAAGGCCACTCAGGCCAGACTCGAAGAAGAAAAGAAGAAAGAGGTTAAGAAGAAAACACAGCACATGAATGTTTATCTGGTAAGAAAATAAGTATAATTATTAATTAAATCATTTAAAAATCTAAAAATTAAAAAGCAAATCGTTTGTTTTAAACTAATAAAACCTATCAATTATGTTTTAAACTTTATGTTTTCGATTTACATTCAAACAATCCCTTTCTTTTAGACCTTTTGTCAAATGATGTACCTACCTATTTAAGAAAATGGCTTTACTAAAAGCTAGCAAATTCGAGATGATGTCAACACAATTATTATTGTAACTAAGAGGTGAGAAAACTTTCAAAGCAGAAGAAAAGTTTCTATTTGTGCTGCATGAGACATTAGCAGAAGTAGAAGGCTATTTAGAAGATACAAATATTTTTAAAGAAGCTGTAAGTTTTACTTTTATTAAATAAAATAGAATCGTTTTGTAACGTTTAAGAAATAATGCATTGAAAGATGTTCCATAAGTTATTTCTCTTTTATGTTTACAAATACATATTTTTATTGCAATTTTAGATTCAGCAGTTACCAAAACTAGGGACAAGGACATGACGAACATATAAAAAGATGGTTCGTTTCCATAATTTCTAATACCCTCACGAAAGAATTCACATAATATTATGGCATGAAATGTGTAAGTATAGGGGTAAACTACATTAGTCAATGCATATTTTCATATTAGCTAATAATATTTTATCTAAAAATTTTACATTTTTAACTATCACTTTTGCCTGATCAGGCGTTTATTAAACGATTAATTTAAGACTCAATATTCGTATAAAATGTAATGTCTTTTTTTAGCTGCTGCTGAGAGTGACAATGGTGCTGCTTAAAAAGTAAGCGAAATAGCCTTAAGAAAATGGCTGAGAAGGTCAACAGAAAGGAGTGCGTATAAAACTAATACATGCTTAATATTATTTATGACAATAAAAATAAGTCTATAGTTGCAATTATTTTATTTCGTATTAATATAGGTGGTGATGTCCGTCAGATGTCCATAAATTGTCCAAAAGCAATACCAAAAGAGTCCATATATGGACCTTTCATGGAGTCCAAATGGACGTCCAGGAGTGGGACATTTGTATAGTCCAGTGGATGTCCATTGGATGTCCTTTGGTAAAATGCTGGACGTCCTTTGGTAAAATGCTGGACGTCCTTTGGACAGCCGATATGTCCATGAATGGACTTCCGATGGACATCCAATGGATTGATTTGTGCTGTCTGGGTAAGTAGTTTGTTATATTTTAGATCATTGTTGTTTTTTATTGTTTGCCATTAAATAGGTATTATAAAATTTGTCAAACACTGTGTTATTTTTTTTTTAATATAAAAAATATTCATCTAGAATAAATAAAATGAGGGCGAGAAGTGAGGGCGGGAAGTGAGGGCGGGAAGTAGAGATGTGTAATGTGACACTTCCCAATCTTCAATAACGTTAGTAATGACATTACATATATGGTTGTAAATAAAGTATTTTACTATTTTCTTTATTTTAACTAATGCTGTATTTTGTGATATAATAAATCAATCAGATATTTGAAGATAGGTTCCTTGATTTGCCACATACCAAAGTGTAAGTAATTAGCCTTTTTCACAACTAACGTTTTTTCGACCAGCTGCTGAAGAAGGAAGAACATTTCTTAAAGAAATTAAATTTATTACGTGGTTAAAAGTTGTTCTAGATATTCGGAAATGTTTTTTAAATTGATTTTGATTATACGAAGGCACAATTATTTCCACAAAATTTTGGGAACGACTCAAATTTCTTCTCAAACCTTTATCTTCACTTGAAGAAAAGTTTTCCTCGTCGTTAAAGGATTCCGAAGTGGAAGCATCACTAACGAATGAGTTCTAAAATTGTTAATTGTAATATATAAACTTAAATTATTTTAATAATTTTTACCAAAATCATATCATCTTCATTAGACGAAGAAGAATAAGCACTCATAAGAAATAAATAAAATTTCTCCAAATTAAACCAAATAGACTAAAATATTTTTTTAGGTTATACCTTAAACCTAAACAGAACGTTTACTTACGTCAAATTAAATACCCCTTATTTTTAAAATTTCTATAGTTCACTTTTAAACAATTTTTAAGGATGTAGCAGCATGGGTAAAGGGGGAAGTGATCCAGATCGGATAAATTCAGATCATTTTACAAAAATAAAACTATAACAAGTAATCTAGATCAGAAGTGAACTGATTCGAGTGCAGTGGCATACCCCGATATGGATCTTGGGGGATAACAAAATTGAACATGGAACAAATTATTGTAAATTTGAATATTCTATTTTATATAACAAAATCTAGTCGCCTAGTCCAGGAGCTGATACCACATTACATAACTGATCGATGAATTATATCATTGACGATGATAAAAGCAGAAAACTCGTTTTTAAAGTGCCTCTAAAACTTCTCACAACAATTTCGAGACAATTTAGATTTTTATTTAAGTTACTTCTAACACATGTATGATGTATTTAATTTAGTAATTATTATAAAGCAATTTAGAGGTCTCTTACTCTTATTTTTTCTTAGGATCACTTATCACTTTGATAGTGTGTTTGAGTTTGCAGACGTGCTGGGACTTCCTGGGGGGATATATCCCCATTTACTCCCCCCCTATGGGTACGCCACTGTTCGAGTGCAGATAAAATTCAGCTTCTCTAAAAATTTTGTAGCGGTGACAGATGTTAGCATTCCTATACACATTCCTGAAATTTTCCCACTGTGTTTAATTTTGAAATCGTAGTATAGATTAACAAATTCTTGTAGTTTTTTTCTAATATTATATATTAACACAGATGATAATTTATTATAATATTTACTAACTTCAAAAATACAAAACACAATAATTATGTGTAACAAAGAATGGCTTGATAACTTGTTTTTTATCGAAAGCACTTCATCTTATTCAATCTTACGACATTTGACAATTGACATTACTTTTCCTTCTTCGATCAACAAATAACTAGACTCGAACTTATATAAACTGAATGTGTTTATAACAACACAAATAATGGTATTTTAAAAAAATTGAATTTAGTTGCCGAACGTTCTGAATGTATTTTTTGAAATCCAGGAAATTAATAGTTTCTTTATCTCTTTAACCGGAACGAAATTCCGAATTTTTTTTATAGCAGTTTGCACACAGGATAAAACTCTTACAAATAAAGTTAAAAGCTCCGGTAGCATTAGAAGCAAAATATCTGGTAAAACAATTTTCATTCGACCGAGACGGTCCTTTGGTAAACGTTGTGCATTGTTGGAGATTGTGTTTCTCGGGATCGAATTACTCTTTTCCATGTGAGTGTTTGCCGTGAGAGTAAACACCCACAGTGTGTTTAGTTCAATGCCTTTTCGCCGTAAACTCTGAAAATTCGAGTGATTTCAACTGCAGAGACTAAATTACTCGATTTGGTCTTCTCCCATTCCCTGTATAAGGAAAAAAAAGAAAAATCAATAGCTTCTGGTTTCGTAGAATGTGTCCAATTAGATAATTTATATTCTGCATTCACTAGTCTCTTAAAACCAATAGAGGATTTAAATATACAGTGGTCAATAATGAGTTCGAAATAGGGATGACAACAATATATCGATATATAAATAAAATTTATCGATATGAAGGGGTTAGAAGCAAAATGGTACAAGTGCATATTAGCCACAAAATGAGTTAGGTACAGATTTGGGTAATAAAAAGTACAAATTATGTAGTGGCATAAGGATTCAAATGAATTTAATACCTGTGGTGCCATCTATTGGCGAGTGAAAATTACTTAGAAATAAAAATGTAGAAAATGTTAGCGGCAAAACGGTACAAGTGCACTTGTACCGTTTTGCCTCCAGACGTATGTGGTAAAAATTATAGGTTATGTACTTGTATGAATTCTATGTTTCTGGGACCTATTCTCGTGTAAATTTAATTTAATCTAAATAATATGAGTGAAAACAGGAACAGTGATAAACGTAGATGTGCTAAAGGTAAGGCAATACATACTAATTTATTATAAATTTATTTTAATCATTTATTAAAATAAATTTTTCAGTTGATTTGCAAACATTAACCCATACAATGTTTTTATATTTCACAGGATCCCAAGTATATAAACCTGATAAGCATGATTCTGACGATGATTCGGATCCATACGCAACTGATGAGGACACTGAATATTATGAACGAACTTCCGACTCTTCATCCGAGGAGGAAAGGGGCTGTCATCCCAATCCTAACATATTACAAGAATCAAATAGTGACTTAAAGGCGACGTCATCTTCGGCTCATGGTAAGGTTTTTATATTGTTTAATTTACGGTGCACAAAATAACATAGATTTTTAGTTACACCTAAGAGAATACGCAAAAGACAAAAAAAAGAAGCAGAATGGAAAAGATTGAAGGCAAAGAAAGCAAGAACAAGTGGCAAAGAATATAAAACGAATAAAGGTAAAACTATCAAAAAAAAGGGAAATTAAGTTTTGGGAGCACAATTGCAGGTACGACTGCATGAAAATATCAGAAAATGATGCACTAGGTATTTTTACCAAGTTTTATGAACTGCAGACTTATGATTTACAAACAAATTACATTGGTTACTGCATCAAGAAATTCGCTCCCAAGCGAGTAAAAGGTGGGGCACACTCTCACAAAGAATTTGTCACCCGTATACTCCTGATGGGCTTTAGAGTCTGCAAGACGTTCTTTTTGAAACTGTTAGGAATAACTAATCGGAGATTTAATACGGTGTGTAATAAACTGTCCAATGAAGGATTTTTGCAAGCAGATCAACGTGGCAAACATCCACCATCCAACAAAATGAGTAAACAGAGACGTGATGACGTCATTTCACACATAAAAATGTTCCCGAGATATAAGAGCCATTACTCTCGATTACAAAATTCTGCCTCCAGATATCTAGCTACTGATCTAAATATCAAAAAGATGTACAGCCTTTATCTTGAATGCTGCTCAGAATTAAACAAATTACCGGTAAAGGAAACATACTATAGGCATATTTTTTGTAACGAGTTTAATTTAAAATTCCATAAGCCTCACTCAGATACATGCGATCGGTTGAACAATTTAATAAAAAATGGCCCCAGTATCGAAGTAATCACACAAAGTAAAGCAGAGCTGGAGGCACATCATAGAGTTGTAGAAAGTGTCGCAGTTTCTAAGAAAAGAGACACTGAATATTGCACAGAACACTCTCTCTCAACTCGCCTAATATGCTTTGACCACAGAATAACCACTATTACAGAAATGAAGGCTTGCGTCGGCACGTTTGATGTCGGGGTGGCCAAAATTTAAAGTGACACTCGCTGACAGTTGACGTTCTTGCCGGTTGTTACACTGGTAAAAATTACCAAGATTCTTATAAATTCGGATAATACACTGAGAAAAGGATTTAAATATATGTAACAAACTTATTTAGCAACATCTACTATTTCTTCTCTGAATTGAAGGTTAGTGATATAATTAGAAAAAATAAGGCTTCACGATAATTTATTTTGAAGTAAATTGTACTGATCGCTATATTAAAAAAGAGTTTTTACTTGAGGAACCAGACCGAATGCTCGTTGTACTTAATTCATCAGTTTTTTTTAGATAACATTAACTCTTTAACAGAAGGATTCTATTACAAATTATTGATGTATTAATTAATTGTATACTTTCCTGAAAAACACCTTCAACTGTGATAGTTGGATCTATAAAAATAGATTAAACTAATAATAACTGGCATTAAAAATGCAAATACTTCCGAACTGTCATTTTGAAAGCCTTTTATGTGTTTTAGAACCTTATCATATGTCAATAATACCATAAACAATCCTTGTATTAAGACTTTCGCCATACTCTTATAATAATTTGACAACTCGGTGGATAAATCTGTGATTTTTACAATTCCATTTTTGTAAACAAAATTAATCTAGTAGTCGTTGGTAGAAAAGCATCACCAATAATTGGCGTATCGATTTATTACACTGTTTTACACTAGCACTAGCTCAAATGGCTTTTCTTTCGAGTCTTTTGTGCAGAGTTGTCCAGTAATTGCAGCACTTCATTAACGTGGGAGTGGAGTCGACCCTCATGTTTTGCAGTAACCTCTTTTTCTTATTTGTCTGTATGAAGATAATCGTTTAGATAGAGCCAGGGTGCATCAATGATACATCTTAGGACTTTATTTTGGAAAACTTATATTATGGCACATCCTCGTAGCTGTATTTCATAAATCCAGACGACTTAGGATTTGTTTATAAATCATATGAATTTGTTGTATACATAAATTTGCATTTTTAGATGCATAATTATTAGAACTATGAATTAAATTGAGATTTGAAGAAAAGTACTGTAGGAAAAAGGTTGTTATAAATAAAACACGTACCCATACTGACTATTAATTTTAATAAACCAAAATACGAAAAACACATATTACAAAAATCAGATTAATAAAAATATCAATATGAAAAATACCTACACATCAAAAGGCACACAATTTTAGACAAAGGAATATGCCCTAGGTCCTAAAAAATACAAGGTAAGCACAAACTGCTTGTATTCATTGGAATGTCTTCTAGCTAGAGGCTTTTTGTTTTTAAATTCCGCCTGAGATTTAACTAATCTGCAAATGGTTGGTTTAAAAATTGTGGCCCAACCGAAGGATATTTTTGGGACTGGCACATGCATTATCAAAATAGAAACAACAATATCTCTTCAATCTTCAAAGTTAGTTATTCTTTTGCTGGGACCTAAAAAAAAAATATTTAAATTTAAAAAATACATAAAAACAACACTTTTATATTATTTTTAATACCTGGTGTACTGAGAAAATCGTCGTGGGATTTAGTAGGGTACAGATTCATTCAGAATGATCAATTATTTCATTTGTTGTGGGTGTGTGTCAGAATATTGTCAAACATACATTTTCAAATAAACATTTCCGAGTTGAT